AAACATGTTACAAAATGACGACCGTCGGCACCTTAACTCCAATATATGGCTGTAACATTGATTAATTTACTTGGACCAAAAGGAAGTCGGTTATTTCAATTGGACCAAAATTTGGCTAAATGCAACCACGACACGTTTCAGCTAAGAAGACAGAGCTAGCAATTTATGAGGCGGCGAAGCAATAAACGTTAAAAGTGGCCGCCCCAACGTTTCTTATTGGAGGAGGGAAGAGCCCATCTACGTGTACCATAAAACAACTCTTTAGCATATATATATATATATATATATATATATATATATATATATATATATATATATATATATATATATATATATATATATATATATATATATATATATATGCTTTTTGAATACTTTATCTATTTCTGATTATTTGTTCATGTGTTCCCGTGTTGGGATACTTTTTGAATCATCAACTTTATGAATACTCTACTTGATTTTTGTTTCCCGTAGAGTAAACCTTAAACACTAAATTATATTTCAGTTGCATCATGTCTATTGATAAAAGCTAGACTACTAATCCACATCGTCAATCTCCCGAGTTCCAGCTAGAACTCGACTCTTTTGTCGAGAGATCCATGTTACAACTAGATTGTAAAGGTGAAATAAGATGTCCGTGTGAGAAATGTGATAATCGTTACTTCATGGATCTGAAAGCAATGAGACGTCATGTTCGTATATATGGTTTCAGTCAATCATACAAAATGTGGATATATCACGGTGAACCTTTAATCCATCCAGTTGTAGATGTCGTATCGCCAAGCAACGAGATGGTTGATGTTATTGATGATGTTATGTGGGAGTCGAGAGAAAATGATACAAACCTCGATGAAGGAACCTCGAATACAGGGGGTAGCGGTGTCGATGATGATTTTGAAGAGTTGTTAGAGGCAGTCGAAACCAAGTTATATCCTGGTTGTACGTTTTCTTTCATTGATTTTTTTAGCAAAGCTGATGCATATCAAGGTCAATAACAAATGGACTAATAGTTCATTTGATCAACTCCTTGAGTTGTTGCATTCGGCATTTCCGCCAGACAATGAAGACGAGACTGAAGTACCTCCGCCAACGGGTAGAATCGATAATGTTTCCGAGGAAGAGACTGGTTATGATGATGACGATTCTGATTATGATACTGATGAAGAAGACATTGAAGTATACGATGAAGATTCTGATTAAAAAAATCAAATTTTTTTTTTGTAATAGAAACTTTATTTGAAATGTACCTTTAACTCATATTGTTTGTCTAACTTTTATTTATGTTGTTTGTGTATATTGTATATCTTACAATTTCGCAGGGTAACTAAATTTTATTCATATTGTATTTCTATATTGTACATCTTGTAATTTACAGGCTACAGACGAGGTTTACTTGGACGATACTCTTTTCCATGATGGCCGATGTTATGGGGCTTGGACATGGAGGCGATGGAGCCGGGGATCCACCACCTCCAGTAGGCTTTGGTCGTGGTCAGCACGAACAAGATGTTAAGTTTTATTATGTCATATTTATTAACTATTTTTATTATTTTATTATAAGTTATCGTGACTAGTATTTTTAATTGTATTTTTTCAGCCTAGCTTCCAAAGAAAAGAAGAGGCATGTTAAAAAATATCGAGCTGGGAAAGTTGATACGGGCAAACAAGGGAAAGCCTGTGGATTTGGATTTCGACAGGGAGATCACATATTCCCCTGTCGGGAAGCGTGGTAATTGGTTCACACATGAAATTGGTAGGTATTTGTGGAACAACGTCCATTTCAACGTATCTGGTTGGGACAATGTTTCCCCGCCTTAAGGAACGCAGTAGTTGTGCATCTAAAGGTAACTTGGATATAATTTTAAGTTTAGTTGTGATTGTTATTTATTCAACTAAATTTTTGGTATTTTGCAGAATAAGTTTGATTTGGATAATGTTAACATGGATCCGGAGCGTGCTCAATTGTTGCGGAGCATTGATTCGAGTCTTGCAAAAGTTTACAGAGGCCGAAAAAGTAAAGCTCATTCTTATTTTAAGGAAATCGGGAGGCCTGCAGATATCCCAGCCGCATTAAACAACCCCCCTAGGGTATGTCACATGAAAATTGGGCGAAGGCAGTCGAACATTTTCAAACGCTAGAATTTTTAAGGCGTTCGGCGTCAAACACAGAGTGTCGTGCAAAACAATTAGTTGTAAACAGAGGGGGGGTCGAGCTCATACAGCAATGCATGCTTCAAAGAAGTAAGTTATGATATATTTAAATATTTATTTAAAGTATAAGTAATCTAATTTCTAATGTTAAATAGGATATTAGTCGAATCGATGTTTTACGAAATGCTAATTCCAATCGCCAAGGGGTATTTTATAGTCATGCAGTCGAACAACAATACGTAAGTGGTTAATTTGTATTTTCATATAAGTGTTTATATCGTCAAGGGTATTTAGTAATCTAATTTTTATGATATTTATTATTTTTTGAAAATACAGAATGCTTTACTCGAGGAGATCAACCAACGAACCCAAGCTACTTCTGAAGCAAGCGGTCTAACACCCACTGATATAAAAAACTGTTTTGAAAGAATGTTGTGTCCATGTACGATCAGGAACAACCAGTGACACAAGAACAACCACAATCATAGGTAATTGTTAGTTTAAGTGGAAAAGTATAATGATATAATGGAAAATACAATGTTATAATGGAAAGTAGAATGCTATAATGATATGTTGGTTATGATTTGATGTGTTGATATTTTGTAGTTTGGTAATTTTTGGAAAGTAAATGCTATAATGGAAAGTAGAATGCTATAATGATATGTTGGTTATGGTTTGATATATTGATATTTTGTAGTTTGGTAATTTTGTGGAAAGCATAATGCTATAAAGGAAAGTAGAATGGTATAATGATATGTTGGTTATGATTTGATATGTGGATATTTTGTAGTGTGGTAATATTTTGGAAAGTAAATGCTATAATGGAAAGTAGATGTATGTTTAAGTGTATTTGATATGTTGATATGTTGATATTTTGTAGAATGGTATAATTTTTGGAAATTATAATGCTATTATGATATGTTGGTAATATATTTTGTTTTCTTTGTAGTTGGAAATGCTGCAAACAATACTAAAGGACCCGACCTGTTCTGCAGCATTGGAAGAGTGGTTTCGCTCATTGCCACCACCAAATAATGAAGGAAATGATGAGGACGAGTAGTTACTTTAGGATTTTATGAAATGTTTTGTAATTTGGAAGAATATTTTAGGTTGTGGTATGGATTAATATTTTGGATTGGTTGTGTATGGATTAATATTTCTATAAAAAGTTGTCAGATTTTATAAATGTTATATTGTTTTTTATAAATTTAATGTTAAATAAAAAAAAAAACAAAAATGTTTTTGCGGCGACATCTTTTGTGGCGACATCTATGTATTAGCGGCGACATCCTATTAGCGGCGACGGTGAAGTATTAGCGGCGACAAGTCAATAACGGCGACGAGGACCCTTTCGCGGCGACTACAAGCGTATTAGCGACGAAGCATCACCGGCGACGCATTTGCAGCTACAGGTCGCCGCTAAAGGTATTAGCGGCGACAACCCTAACCTTTAGCGACGACACCCGTCGCCGCTATTGCCCAGTCTTCTTGTAGTGAGGATATAGACGTAATATTTAATGTTTGGAAGGACATATATGAAATTTTCCCTTTAAACAATGTACTTTAGAACAATTGGTTTTCTTAACTTGTGTTCTGAAAATGAGTAGTTTTATCTTAATTAAAAATGAAAAACTTTAGTTGTAAAAATGGGACGTTAGATCCTGAAACCATAACACGGATCGTGGTTTACTACCATTAGCGGCGACATCAAAACACGAAGGTTAGATGTCGACATTGTGTCGCTGTTAATGGTGGTATTTCTTGTGGTGCTAGACAACGATGAAGATGACATTTTATGGAAATGAAATTAAAATTAACTTGAATTGGTAGGTGTAATAATAATATGTTATGTTGTTTTCTTTCACAGTAAAAATGTATTATCCTAGCAAAATAAAAATAAAAAATCAACGTATAACTTCTTATACAAATGAAATCTACATAAATTAAAAAAAAATTGTACAAAATAAATCCAAATTAAATATAAATTAAAATCTATAATATTATTTAGAAATGTATCTTGATAAATTAAATAACTATATATATTTCTAATATTATTCGTAATATTTAATTTGTGGTTTGCAATTTACAATTTCTAATTTCCAGTTGATTTCGAATTCTAGTTACATGCATTATTATTATAAAGCGATAATTATATAAAAGTTAAAAACTAAATGATTGAAAATAAATTATGATTTGGAAATCGATTAAACAATAAAAACGTTAAACGTTAAATGATTAAAAATAGATAATGATTTGGAAACTTTTAAACTTTAGTAAGAGTGAATGGTATATGGAATTGAACGGTATTGTGACAAATTTTAAGGGTTAAATGCATTATGAAAAAAACATATATTCAAATGAATTTTTATTTTATATCATTTTTTTTTCTTAAACAATTTGGATTTTATGCTCCATAGTTAACCTCGTAAAATTTTATTAATAATTTCATATTCATTAAAGGTATATATTTCATGAATATTACATAATATTTGTGTATTTTTTCCTAACACCTAATTCACACACCTCTTATTTACTCTTAAAATTAAATTACATATGTGTCTCAAGACAGAGACTGTAACCCTAGTATTTCTGTATCAATTTTCATATATTCATATTTAGTATGTTATTTAATTCATATCCGTTCGGTAAGATGAGAGAGGGAGATAGCACATTCATTCGGGGTATCAATTTAGAATAAATAGTAGCTAGCATCATGTTATAAATGAAAATGCATATATCATGTCCTATCCCGTCTTTTTCTAGCATCTACCAAGATTAAAATCTAGTACAACGCATGCATTAATAGCTGTACTCAAACAAAAGAGACTAATAATATTGAAAGATGGATATACATATCTTGATCCAGGAAGTATCATGGCATCGTAAAGAACAGTAGTAGTATAGTTGTTACCAAATAATCAATGATTCATTGATTCTTCAAACGTGATCTTCATATAAACTTTATAAATAGTAGAGAGCTTTAGATTCAATTATAACAGTAAGACGATTCGTTTTCTTGATGATCAATCTCAGACGCAGCTTCATCTTCTAATTCGAGGCAACATTCATCATCAATTCCACAAGCTGCATGCCCATTTCCAAATGCTTTTATGTGATCTTTCAAAGACCTTTTGTGCTTGAAATCCGATCCACAACTACAATACCAAAGCTTCCCACAATTCTTCTCGTGGGTGCGCCAATCCCCTCTCACTGCAAAGTTCTTACCACATTTCCTGCACATGAATGGCTTGATTCCATGTTTTCTTTTGTAATGTGTCTGGAGGGTTCTGAAATCTTTAAGTGGTTTAGCCCTGGGGTGGTCGATGTTGTTATGGCACTTTGGTGCACAACAGTAGCATGGTAGTCTTAACATGGCTGTTGGCTGTATTCCCCTTAGAGATTCAGGACCTCTTCTATATTGAGATCCATGCCCCCACATATGCATCTGTTATATTATAATGATTCCAGTATTATGCAATCCATTAAACAAGAAGATCTTTGAAAGCATTAGTGGTAGTTAATGAATGAACATGAATAAGCATTAACTCGTTGAATGATTATTCAACATAGACACAATATGAAGCTACTGACCTAGTTCATAAATAATTAATGCGTTCATGTATACACTGAAATCTTTATTAATATCATGACGTACAAAACAGTGTTTTAAAAAGCATCAGGCAGACATAAAATATAGTAACACTAAAATATGTAAACATAGGAAAGAGTAACATTTTGATGCCATTTTATTTTCATCAAAATACATTTTCAAACCAACCATTTTCATAGTTCCATCGTGACAATCAATCGAAAAATCCCAATGTGGACCATCAAATGGAAAATATTAGTTGGATGGATGAACTTCGAAAAAACTATTTATAGCTAAATTGGTGATATATGTCATCACAAAATCGCTAGAGATGTGCATGAAAGCGCAAATTAATCACGTCGATCTGGAAAGGAAAACCTGTTTGCTCATGATTCTTGAATGTTTTTTAAGCTAAACTAGAAAGCATTTAAATTTATGTGGTGTATATGTGGTGTTTGACTGATCATCTCTTAACTGGTAATATACCTCGATGAATGTGGCTTTCATGTCCAAATAGTTGCTAGTGAGAACTGAATTTAAGATGAGCTACCACATTGTCCTACCTCTATGACATTATATGTTTTCTACAGCGCCTTGACAGATCTGTCAGGTTCTGCACACTAAGAGCTCCTTAACTCATAAAGCAATAAATAACTCCCTAGTATAATACTAAAAAAATCAAGTAAAAGGAGATAAATGTGCTTAAAAGTTAAAATAGTAAAGAAAAGCAAAGCAAAACACTATTCATGGTTTCAGATGAATTTAGAAATATTTCCACACAAAGCTATCGACATACAAAACGTGGCTAGTGGTCAGAGATATAAAGATATATGATAGAGGAGGCTGTCTTTTTCTAAATTATTACTAGTGTTAATTATTTAGACTTAAAGATTGAAAATTAATCATGAATAGATCAGTGAAAAGGTAGCAGTAAATTTTGACACAACTGCCAATATATTAAGGGAAGGAGAAAAAGAAAGAAACCAAACTTCAAGGAACAAAAAGCATAATCCATGTCTTGTTCAATCAGATATAAAGTGGACATCATTTTTTTTCATTTTTGAACAGTAGTACTGCTGACCAATCTTAGATCGTAACAGATGGACCAAAGTCTTGATTTGTTTACATCCCCACAAAATAATGGAGTGGAGAAAGGAAAAGAAAAAGTTATTAGTAATTTTTAACCCTAGCCCTAAAAGACAAGGAAATTGTCAAGAAGAGAAGTGAACAATAAATAAAAAGAAGAATACGGGTAGTACTCTAGTACCTGCATGTTATTGTATCTGTTGAAGGTTTTGAAACAAAGAGGGCAAGAGAATTGAGTTGGGCCAATGAGAATTTGAGAAGGAGTAGGGATCCAGTATTGACCCTTATTCAGTGTGCTTGTAAGATACTCATTACTATGAGTACCTTCATCCTCTTCTTCAGCCACTTCTTTATGATCCATGTCAATACCATTATGTGTATTGGAGGAGAGTCTTGAAATTAGATCAGCTTCAGAAAAACGGGGGCTTGGGAGTCCAAGATGTAAAGCCACAGTCACAGTCTCATGATCATCAGAAACCAGCTTGCTATTGGGATCGATTTCCATAGACTTTGAACACGGGCCATTAGTAGTAGTATCGGTATGGTGTTCATGTTCATGGTTGAGTCGTCTTGTTGGGCTTAAACTGAGGAGAGGAAGAGCTTCCCGGAGTGGTGGTGAAGGAGGTGAAGGTTCATAGTGGTGAGGGAGAGACGAATAAGAAAAGGAAAGAGGAGGATGTGAATAAGATGACGAAGAAGGAGACAGATGGTGTTTATTCAGAGTGAACCATGATCTATCGTAGTATCTCGAGTAAGGGTGATCATTACTCATGATTCAGTAAGCTACGAAACAAAGATCAACTGTAGAACTAGATAGGTTAATAATGTAGAAAGTGATCACACACTTACACACCCACAAATAAGAGAGAGAGAGAGAGAGAGAGAGAGAGAGAGAGAGAGAGAGAGAGAGAGAGAGAGAGAGAAGAGAGAGAGAGAGAGAGAGAGAGAGAGAGAGAGAGAGAGCAAAAAGGTGAAAGGGTTGAAGACTGTAGAAGAACACCAATGGAGCTTTGTTCTTTAAGGCCCCAACATTATCTCCCTCTCACTTAGAGAACCTGTAAATTATAACTGATTCTCTCTCTAGCTATCATATTTCTTTCATGTTTAGTCACACCACATAGAGAGCTACTATATCTTGTCTCCCTACTTTTCAATTGTGCAAAAAAGAGGTCCATCCATACTAAACACTTCATTAACCTTAATATTTGTTGGAGAAATTAAATATTTTTGCATCTTTTTGTTTTTTATTTATTTTTTTATTTATATAAAATATGATGTAAAATTTATTATTTCTTTTGCAATCCTTTATTTGGATTTTGACATTTATCTTTAGATAATAAGTAGGAAGATTGATGAGAATAAAAGGTACGAAGATATTTGATTTCTAGTTTATTAATATAGCATATGTTCTCTTAGTTGTAATTATGTTCGTTTATGTGAGATTAAGTATATGTTAAGCATTTGATTATAGACGTATAATAATTATCGGGTTCCTATTATGACTAGCTTTGATAAATTGAGTGTTGTATAATATTTTTGTTGTATCATTAAGTTCTAACATTAGACCATTAGTGTTGGCAAGCATGTTATGAAGTCAAATATTGTCACCTCACATTCTAACATGTTATAACATTAATTGGGGGTGATATTCTCATGTTATAACATAATGTTAAGAACAGAGAGAAATAAATGATTTGATTGGGTGTTGCCTCCCGTACCACATTTCATAACACCACATCTCATAACTGAAAGTTGGGACGGTGTTTCAGCCGTTACCATGGCATGAGGTACCTCCAGGTAGACAAAAACGCCTCTCCACGGCCCGTACCAAGTAGTCTTATAAAAGTCATATTAGCATTTAATAGATATGGACTTTAATAGCCTTTGAACCCTTAAATAGGAAATAATAAACATTATGGTTTTTAATATGTCATATATCTGTTTTTTTAAATATGTATTTTTAAACTTTGTAAGGTTCAATGCTTTATAAAAAAAATTATTAGAATTATATAACAGATAGAATAATGATATGAAGATCTATTAAATTTCAATGAGATCAATATATATTGTGGTTGCTCGTAGCCCAAATTAACCTTGTTTGTATGATAACATTGAATTATGAATAATAGGTTACCAATAGAAACATCAAGATCAATCATATAACTACAAAATCTGAAAGACTATATATTAACAATAGCAAGAGGTAAGCAACAAAACTATGATAGATGATACATAATATCTCTGAGAGATAGCTTTTTTTTAACGGCGGATATATTAAAAATCTAACAAGATGTTATTGAGAAGATACAAACTACAAGCTACAAGCATGATAATGAGAAATACAACAATCGAACCAAGATATATTGCTAAACAAAAATCTATTCTTAATGAATATTATCCACCGACTTTAGATAAAAGCATATTCTATTGTTAAACACCAAAGCATTACGGGTTTTCCAAATGATCCACACAACAAAACCAATACACCAAAAACATATTACACCTGCTTCAAATTTATTAAAAAGAAAATAAATTATTTAATATGAGTGCCTTCATAAGATCTCTTATCTTGAAAAACTACATCTTTTCGGTACTTCCAAATAGATCGTGGACCCAAACCCTAAATAGTTCCTCAAAAAAGCGACATTGGAATTCAATTGGTGGGTAGGTAGCTAGTGTTAGAGTGGTATAGGACCAAAAAGACAAGTTCATGAAATTAGGGTTGATTGTTGTCTCACATTATAATATGATATCCTCCAAAATACACCAAATAAGAGACAGTATGTGCGTGTATTCTTGTGTCTTTATTGTTCCTCGGGAAACTAATACCTGAAAGTACTTAAAACTCCGGCAGTGAGCTTTGAAGAGAGAGCTGTGGTCGCATTGGATCCATGCCAACCTCAAACACACTGATTCATCTAACCTCTTCAATTTTTTTCTTACATGCACATCAACCCACTGTTCAATTGTCACAATCTCACACAGTGACAGTGTAACAGTGCGTGTATATATATGTCTGTATGGTGTTAGTGTATTTACGAAGTACAACAGGTTATTTGTACATGATGCAATATATTTTAATTTTTCTGAACTGCATTCTCACATATTTATTAGGGTTTTCTTCTATTTTCATATATTTGAATTTTGATGAGATACTATGAGAGACTTCTCTCTTGAAAAATTTTGTTTAGTCCCTATGCACGAGAGAAAAATAATTTTATTCTTTTAAACAACTCGAATACATGCTTATTTTGTTAGTGACAAAATCTTGAAGTCATGATCGTTATTTATTTAATAGTGATTGAACTAATTAAAAGACCCCAATTCAAATAGTTTTGCTATATATATATATATATATATATATATATATATATATATATATATATATATATATATACATTTCAAATGTTTCCCACATCTATTGTGTGCTACAATGCACCAATAAGAATTTATTAAAAATTATATGTATATTAAATGATATCCATACTTATAATTTTTTTTATGAAAAACTAATTAAATTCGTCATTAATGTCAACAATAACATTCTTTCAGAATAAATTCATATCTACAAGAATGAGAGTGTATTCTACCAAATGCGAGTGTATTCTAGTAGAATGCACTTTCGTTCTTCATATTCCACACAACTTAATTTTATTTTAAGTGAGTGAATACTAAAACAAAACACGAACCCATACATAAAAACCTAGATGCGAATTCATTCTAAAAGAATATTATTGCTGACATTAATGAAGAATTTAATTAGTTTCCATAAAAAGAGAATTATAATTATGAATATCACTTAATATACATACAATTATGGAAATCATTTAATATCTATATTTATTTAGTTAAATAATTAAATAATTTTACTAAATTCCTATTGGTGTATTCTAGCACACAATAAATGTAAAAAACAAATTAACATAGCCATATATATATATATATATATATATATATATATATATATATATATATATATATATATATATATATATATATATATATATATATATATATATATAGGGTTGAGATCGGTTGAGAACTCAAAGTTTCCGGAGAACCCGAGAACTAAAAGTGAAGCGTTGGATCAAAAGTAATTCGTTAAGGACATGATCGTCATATTACCAATCTCATTTAATGTTTAATTTTTTTTATGTTATTTAATATATTAATATAAATGTCTAAAAATTTACATCATATATCAAATTTTCATATTTTTTTTAAAATAGTATTTTTCGTTTTTTTTAAATGCAGAATTTTTAATTTTTTATAGAAAACATGTATTTTTGAAAAAAAAAATTGAAATTTTTTTTTTTTCACAAGAACAGCAATTTTTTTTAAAGAAAACTGCATTTTTTTTCAAAAAAAAAACTACAAGTTTTTTAAAGAAAGTTACATTTTTTTCAATAAAAAACTGTATTTAAAAAAAAACTGCATTTTAAAAAAAATTAAAAATTTTAGGTGCATATATGCATATTTTTTCAAATGCATATATTCATATTTTTTTATACTATAATATTCGTAAGTAGATCATAAAAAAACTCATTTTATTTACCAATCTATAAACACAATAGAATACGTATTTTATTCGATACAAAAAAAAATATTAAAAACAAAAAACTGTACAAAATTTCAAAGCGTTTTTATGTCTTCGTGTCAATATTTCCATATTTTTCTTCAATTTATCATCTTTACCTCTTCAATATTCACCACAATTTCTTCCAAATCTACAAGAAAATTATAAAAAAATTGATTGATGCAAAAACACTCACAAAAATACATATGTGATTAACATATGAATCACAGACGATTCACGTATGAATTACATGTGATGTATATGTGAATTACACGTGATTTACATGTGAATCTCATGTAATTCATATGTGAATTACATGTGATTTACATGTGAATCACATGTAATTCATATGTGAATTACATGTGAATTATATGTGATTTACATGTGAATCACATGTGATTTGCATGTAATTCATATGTGAATTACATGTGATTTACATGTAATTCATTTGTGAATTACATGTGATATACATGTGTGATTTACATGTAATTCATATGTGAATTACATGTGATTTACATGTGAATCACATGTAATTCATATGTGATTTACATGTAATTCACTGTGATTTACATGTGAATCCCATGTAACTCATATGTGATTTACATGTGAATCGCATGTAATTCATATGTGATTTACATGTGAATCACATGTAATTCCTATGTAATTCAATTCTAATTTACATGTAATTCACTTGTAATTTACATGTAATTCACATGTAATTCATATGTGTTTCACTTGTGATTTACATGTGAATCACATGTAGTTTATTTGTAATTCGTATGTGAATCACATGTAATTCATATGAGATTCACTTATGATTTACATGTATTGCAATAATAATGAGAGGCAACTGTGGCAAATTTTGTTGTCAAATATTTTGAAAACATGTCATAAGTTGTAGTAACATAGTCTTTTTTTTTCTTCATGTAAAAAAATAAGCCTTTGCAATATGATGGTTGGTTTTTGCAACATTCAAATCCAAATCTGAAGTTTTCAACAAAATTAGATGTTTTTTGAACAATTGCATATGGATTTTTGCTTCTTTCATACCTATATATCTCTTCAGCTAATTTATACTTGTCTTGCTGCAAGTGAGCCCACGCCAAGTTCCCTAATAACCCGATTCAATTCCAAAACATCAAAAAATTAAAACTAAATTTTGAAGATGACTCATGATTCTACATTTCTAGGTTTCTACCTTGAATACTCTTGTCCCATTATAGTCTAGGACATGTTAATGTTCGGTAAGAATGAAAGATGTCTTGTTCATCAAATAACATATCTTCAACTGAAA